GCGTCTTATATTCCGTCAAATGCGGTAACTTATTTTAATTAGGAATTAATTTATGCGTTGTATATTTTTAATAGAACGAGGTTAATTAATTTAACCGTTTTATTGTATTTAAAACAAAAAAAATTAAGGTCATGTATGTTGGGCTCGGGAAACCAATAATTCTTTCAGGAATGGAGACATTTGAAAAAATCCTCAGCGCAGATTTATATTTTGACAAGGTTGTAATTCATCTAGGTCTTGTATATATATATATATATATATATATATATATATATATATATATGTGTGTGGGGGGGTGTTTATGAAAGTATGTCTGTATAAGAGAGATGTTGAAAGTGCAACTAGAGTATATAGAATATTTATCTAGAGTAACCTTACCGGTTTAACAGTTCTATGTTTTCAAAAAAAATTGAGATGATGTGAGGTGTGGCTATGTCTTGATATGTCTCAAGATGCGATACATATCATGACATAGTCACACATCTCTCCATCTCAATTTAACTTTTGAAAAGCATAGGACTGTGAAACCTGTAGAATTACTCTAGATAAATATTCTTAAAGACTCCAGTTGCATTTTCAACTTTATCCTATAATTTTACCCGTGTGGGATATATATATATATATATATATATATATATATATATATATATGAAAAAAAAAAAAAAAAAATTCTGAATATGCATTATTAATGTTAAAAATAAAGTCGACGTCGGACTTTTCGGTCTATTTAAGACCATCTTCATGGACATTTTCATTTAAACATAATTAACATTATAACTTATAACAATTTAACACAAAAGACGATGGACATAAGAGCCCAACTAATTCAGACAGATAACTGAAATTTTATACAGATCAGCGTTCTGTTTAAATATGATCACGTAGTCGTCACGTGGGCGATGTTGTTAAGACGTATTCGAAGATGATTTCAAAAATTAAAAAAAATATCAAAAGTCGAATGAAAAATTTTTATAAACAATTAAAAAATCTCTTCCGTTGATGTTTGGAATACGTAGTGATCAATGGTTCTTATATCTTCAACAAGCTTGAAAGTCTTTCCCGTTACAATGCAAATCCAAAGTGATTTTTAAAAACGATGGAACAGTTCTAAAAAACAGTTCGATAAAAAATTCCATTCTTTTTAGATCAATAGATTCCCTCGTCCAAGCTTGAAAATCTTCCACGTTTCAGGTTAAATAGACAGTATTTGGATGGATATAAATCCGACAGTATGTAACGGGAAAGACTTTCAAGCTTGTTGAAGATATAAGAACCCATTGATCACTACGTATTCCAACATCAACGGAAGAGATTTCTTTAATTGTTTATAAAAATTTTTCATTCGACTTTTTGATATTTTTTAATTTTTGAAATCATCTTCGAATACGTCTTAACAACATCGCCCACGTGACGACTACGTGATCATATTTAAACAGAACGCTGATCTGTATAAAATTTCAGTTATCTGTCTGAATTAGTTGGGCTCTTATGTCCATCGTCTTTTTGTGTTAAATTGTTATAAGTTATAATGTTAATTATGTTTAAATGAAAATGTCCATGAAGATGGTCTTAAATAGACCGAAAAGTCCGACGTCGACTTTATTTTAACATTAATAATGCATATTCAGAATTTTGTTTTTTTTCAGTATTTTTCTTTCATACTGTCGGATTTATATCCATATATATATATATATATATATATATATATATATATATATATATATATATATATATACTTATATACAAACATTTTGTCATACGCTTTCCATTATTTACGTTTGTGAACTCATATTCTTAGTTTTAAAAAGTTTCCTGTTGTAAAAGACATACTACGAATGACTGATTGCAAAAGCAATAAAGAGCTAAATAAATTTCAAAGACATTTCTCAGAAATCTCTGATATTGTACCAAATATAGAGATGAGAATATTAATAAAATTACAGTCAAATTTATGTGCAGCTTTATCCAACTGACCTTTTACAAAACAACATTTGCATCGTGGCCACGGTGGTGAGATTTAGAGGAATGAAAAGTTGGTTATTATCAAATAATTGAAACCACTTAACAATATTATTGGATGGTAAAGGTAAACCTCTTGTATTTTCATTCTAAAAATGAATGTTCATTTTTTCATCGAGTGGCACAGAAACTTACATTTCTTTACAGACCTTGACTTTTATTAGTTAATTCAATTTAGTTTTTTTTCTGACTGAATAAAATGTCGTCATAAATCGAATTAGGAAAAATAAAAAGTTGTCTGAGTTTTTTCTCTGAAAACCTGTAGAAGTCAAAGTCTGAAATATTATATTAAAAAGTTTGTTAGACAAGAAAGATAGTTTTGAGCAACATGCGGAAAGCAAGAGATACCTATCTATCTAGCTGGACCTGCTCATTTTTATATATTTAGATCTATTCATATCAATCCATGTATTTAGACGTATTCATATCTATCTATCTATCTATGAACAGGTCTAGATAGAATGATAAATAGATATGAACAGGTCTAGATAGATAGATAGATAGATAGGATAGAAAGATAGATAGATAGATAGAAAGATAGAAATGAACAGGTCCAGATAGAAAGATAGATAGAACAGGATAGAAGATAGATAGATAGATAGATAGAAATGAACAGGTCCAGATAGAAAGATAGATATGAACAGGTCTAGAAGATAGATAGATAGATAGATAGATAGATAGATAGATAGATAGAAATGAACAGGTCCAGATAGAAAGATAGATATGAACAGGTCTAGAAGATAGATAGATAGATAGATAGATAGATAGAAATGAACAGGTCCAGATAGAAAGATAGATATGAACAGGTCTAGAAGATAGATAGATAGATAGATAGATAGATAGAAATGAACAGGTCCAGATAGAAAGATAGATATGAACAGGTCTAGAAGATAGATAGATAGATAGATAGATAGATAGATGATAAAATGAACAGGTAGAAAGATAGATATGAACAGGTCTAGAAGATAGATAGATAGATAGATAGATAGAAATGAACAGGTCCAGATAGAAAGATAGATATGAACAGGTCTAGAAGATAGATAGATAGATAGATAGATAGAAATGAACAGGTCCAGATAGAAAGATAGATATGAACAGGTCTAGAAGATAGATAGATAGATAGATAGATAGAAATGAATAGGTCCAGATAGAAAGATAGATATGAACAGGTCTAGAAGATAGATAGAAGATAGATAGATAGAAATGAACAGGTCCAGATAGAAAGATAGATATGAACAGGTCTAGAAGATAGATAGATAGATAGATAGATAGATAGATAGAAATGAACAGGTCCAGATAGAAAGATAGATATGAACAGGTCTAGAAGATAGATAGATAGATAGATAGAAATGAATAGGTCCAGATAGAAAGATAGATATGAACAGGTCTAGAAGATAGATAGATAGATAGATAGAAATGAATAGGTCCAGATAGAAAGATAGATATGAACAGGTCTAGAAAATAGATAGATAGATAGATAGAAATGAACAGGTCCAGATAGAAAGATAGATATGAACAGGTCTAGAAGATAGATAGATAGATAGATAGATAGATAGATAGATAGATAGATAGATAGATAGATAGATACTATGCAGTTAAGGAAAGGATCGCATTGACTCGATGATCCCGACTACGGACGAATCTATTTTTTCATAATCTTGTTGGTAACTCTACAGAAATCAGGAAATAAGTCTTTCTTTATCAATCCTCGCTCATACTGACTGTACATGGCTGACATTAGCGTTTTCCATAATCATTTTTTTTACGATGATTGCTTACAGGACAGAATGCGGTCTGCGTCTCGCTACACGGGTTGTGGAGATAAAGAGGGAATTAACGGCTGCTTCTGTGCTTGTTAATATTTCTTGAAAAGAATGCAACACTCAGTACCAGAAAGGATCCATACCGCTTTCTTAGATCAATGGTTAAAAATGGCTTCAGCGAAGACCGCTCTTTTTCGAACCTTGTGGACTGGCGCTACAGAATCACAAAGAACTGTACCAAATAAAAGAAAACAACATCACTTGATGACTTTCTTTCAAAGACGGCAACAAATAAAATAGAAATCACATTTAACTCAAAGAAAAAGTAATGACGTAAGATGTTGACATTACACACTACTTCAAATAAACGCTAGGAAGGAAACCCCCACCAATGCTAGAAAAAGCAATAGCATCAACTAAATATGAGAAATCTATTTTCTGAAAAAAAACTGTTTTAAGAGAAAGATTATATAAATGTCAACTGACAGTGGTACAGACTTCTCGGCTAATATATGCTAAATGTTTCCTTATAAGGAGACAGCTAATATTACAATTCTGAGTTTGCTATTTCTAAAGAAAGTTGAAAGAAGACTTTCAGCAAAGAAACATCGAAGGTCATCTGATTCAGCATTGGAGTGAAGAAATGGCACATCAAAGGACTTTTTGGTTTGGTATCGATGTTGATACAGACTTGTGAGTAACCAGAAGAACTCAAAAATCATTGGACCGAACAGCCTAGCTAATCGAGCGGAAAAATTCACATTGACTGAAATTCTAAAAAAAAAAAAAAAAAAATAAAAATAAAGTCACGTGTGTTCGCAATCTGCCACAGGCGGAAAATAAAAGGTTATCGTCTTTCCAAGGTTCACTAGTTAAGACCTTTACAGCTTGAACCAACCATGTAACGTATGTAAGTTAGGGCCATCCTCTTTCCCTTCGTATTCCATTGGTAAGGAGGAAGTTCTACTCAAACAACTTCTTCCCAAGAACTGTTACTTTATTAAACATACTCAAGAGAGGATGGTTTCCAAATTATTGCAATGTTAACCCCTTCAAGTCTTCAGTTATCTATTTTACATAACCTCACCATCTGCACCTTATTGCCTCCTATTACATTACAACCTCATTCAGTAATCCTCTACACTGAGCGTCTCTTAAGACTTGTGTTAAGCGAAAAATAGTATATAAAAAAGCTTTATATCGTAAATAATTTACAACATGATCTATTTTTTTTTGTCAGCCGACGTAAGTCACATAGATCGAGCATTATACAATGAAACTATCTTCTAGAGCTGTTCATATCTATCTATCTACTAGACCTGTTCATTTCGATCTATCTATCTATTAGACCTGTTCATTTCTATCTATCTATCTACTAGACCTGTTCATTTCTATCTATCTATCTACTAGACCTGTTCATTTCTATCTATCTATCTACTAGACCTGTTCATTTCTATCTATCTATCTATCTATCTATCTAGATCCGTTCATATCTATTTATCTTTCTATCTAGACCTGTTCACAGACAGATAGATAGATAGATATGAATAGATCTAAATAGATAAACATGAGCAGGACTAGCTAGCTAGATCTCTTGCTAGCATGCATGTTACTCAAAACTATCTTTCTTGTCTAATAAACTTTTTAATATAATATTTCCGACTTTGGTACAGGTTTTCAAAGAAAAAACACAGACAATTTTTTTATTTTTCCTAATTCGATTTATGACGACATTTTATTCAGTCAGAAAAAAAACTAAATTGAATTAACTAATAAAAGTTAAGGTCTGTAAAGAAAAGGCGATAAAATCAAAATCCAGTTAATAACTACGTGCAGAACTACGAACATATTGATCTAATTTTGTATTTTGCACTGATCGCAATAGAAAGTCCAGGAATTTATCCATAAATATTGCTTCGAATTCATATGGATCAATCACTGCAGATGTTTCCTGTCAACTAAACGAATCTTTTCTTTGGTCATTTAACCAGAAAAAAAAGTGTAACTTGGGTGAATAGGAAGACGGTCCTAAAAAGACAAAACCTCACATGAAGCAACAAATATAATGAAATCAAGCATGGCTGATCATGTATAGTGTAAAAAGATAAGATTCTGTGATAAGAAGTATAAATATTAGTATTATATTAGCATTAATATAATTATAAACAGGGATATTGTCTCATCCTTACTCCTATCGCATCTTTCTGGAAGTGTCTTCTCACGAAAATTGACTTTCCCAGACACCATAGCTCGGGACTCAGGATTGGACAATGGGGATCTGGGGAGAGCAATACAGGACCGAACAGTGTGGAAAGGGATTGTTAATAGAGTTCCGACCAACCATAAGGAGGTCGAAGGATGATGATGTTGATAAATATTAAACAGAAAAAACGCCTGAGAGAATAAGACGAGTGAAGCAATCAGCGCAAATGTTAGGCTATGGTGGTTTCCTCAGAAAGTCCAGCATAGATTTAAATACCACATTTAGGCTATTAAGGAAGAGGGGTTCACCTCTAAAAGTCTATATGAATAAGGCTTAGCAAACGATCATTCTTCTGATCTTGCACTAACAGCCCAGTGGGTAAATAACTGACTTCTAATATTGTTGTGAGGACCTACCTACAAATGGACTCTTCCACACCTATATAATATGGCTACCAACTCTGAGTAAAGGGAGTCACCAAGTGAGGGTCACCAAGTTGTAGCCATAGAGTGAGTGAATGAGTGAGTCAGGACACCAGTGAGAGAAAGTACTCTCCAGTCCACATTTATCTTTGTACTACGTTTTCCGAGAATATACTATTTAACCATATAGTGATTTTCCAAGCGTAGCTTAGATGTAGCACAAGACCGAAATTAGGGGGCACCCAGTGAGGATCGAACTCACTACTCAGTCGTAATTGTTCTAGAGAGACAAGCTTGCTAACCATTACACCGCCTCGAGGTGCCCAACTATTTAACCTTATATCCGAGTCCGTGTTATCTTTCTATGGTTCCACACCATAAAAAATATTCACTGTTCCAAAACCTAAACTAATAATGTTCTATCATCACCGAGCAGACCATGAATATTTGCCTATCACGATGAACGCATGTTCTCTCAAGGCCGGCTCGTTGCCTTGGATCCTTAATGAGACTCGTTTACCCTACAGATGAATTGGTGCAAAACAAAAGGTACTGGAAAAATGGCCGCCTTCTTGTACCGCTCCAGTAAGTATTTAATCCCTCTTGATATCTTCTATCTTTACAAGATCCAGATCAGGCTGAAGATAGAGTCAGTTATGTGTTATTCATGATACATGCTTAGACGATCATGTATCTTTCGATACATGACTGACGAGGAAGATTTTTTTCTCGCAGTAGGTTGCCATTTCTTTCTGCGGTAGACCAGTTGTCATCCAAAGCTATATAACCCGCTCTGTCCTGCTATTTACCCATATCTGGGGTGTAGAAGAAGAGGATTCATAGCTTTCCCGAGGGTATTAGCATGTAAGTGAATGTAATGGATTCGATTGGATCATGGAGTACTGCTGCCATATTTCGACTGAATCTACTCAATCCTTACTTTCAAGTCTTGATAGAGTTAAAAAAATATACGCAGCCTTCTGCCGATCAGTTATTTTCCACCCTACAACCATAATCCCCATAACCGAAAGGACGCAAGCCTCTCACTACTCTATCGTTATTTCCGTTGAAAAAATATGATGGGCTTAGTTCCACCCGTTCAAACTTTTATAGTTAAAACCCGCCGTTCCACATACACTGAGACGAACCATACCCATTACCGGCGTATCCCACTAGAAAGAAGGAGGCTCATAGACGCTTTACAAGAGCCGTTACTTTATGGTAAAGATCCCAGAGAGAGTGTTTTCCCGATCTCTATAATGTCAACCTCTTCATGTCTAGGAATTAAACGTTATCTTTCCTACACATCTATATAAACTAAACTTCTTACCTCCTCGTCTTACCGGTCCATACAACAACCACATACGGTTACTCCCTACATTGCTCATGGGTTTTGTAATAGGTGAAAATTACTGAAATAAAACATCATGCAACTGAAGTAATGGCCGACAGACACCTGACGAAGGCTGGAGGGTATAATGGCCGAAACGTTGTGATAGTAACAGCGAAGATAAGGATAATCGTCCGACTGTAAAAGATGTAAAAACAATAACTTCTAATACCAGAAAATTTTTTTAATCGGTATCACGCCATTTTAAAGCAGTAAAGCCACTAAGACATAAGGGGTTACTGGATGTGGAAGAATTATGAACAGAAACATTAATAATGAGCGGGAAGAGGAAAGAGTAATTAGGAGAACAATAGATAGCGATTGACATTGGATTTAAATTTTTACAGATTAAAGTTGGCTGGAAAGCATGGAGCCAGAAGGGTGTTCCACAAGCAAAAAGTGTGAGAAAAGAAACTGTTAGCATAAAATTTATGGTTACATCTAACCAGTTTAACTGTAAATTGATGGGATCTCGACGCCAGTCCATTGCTGCGCTTAAACTTAAAAACTCTAGGTACCATAGCGAAGGGCGATATTTATTCTTCTATGTACAGAAATCTGGCACAAGGCCGAATTGGAAAAAAGGACGGTATTCTTCTGTCTTAACGTTAAACTTAGCTAGCCCCAAACACTGACCCAAACAGACAACAATATTCCTTATACCAAAACAACGCTTTCTTACTTACCTTTCTTGCTACATCCACCATAATTCCTCATTGTCGCCACGAAAGTCATAACTAAACTCCATAAAAAACTAGCCCCCCACCCAAATGAGTATTTACAATATGAAATCAAAACTATTTTCAAGAAACAAAATAAAATAATGATAGTAATAAAACCCCCCACAATCCTTAAATGTGGTAGAAACATCAGTTAACAGGACGAAATCAATGCGGGACTTTAATAATATAAGACATTCATTCATCCCAAGCACTCACTCAGGCACACACCCATTCAGACACAACAACAAATACGAAAAACACACGAAAAACGAAAGGCGTCCCGCACCCACCAGAGAAGTGACATCACTGACCACCTAACGAGGGAAGAGAGGGGGAACAAAACTAAAGAAAAATAGGGTCAGAAATAAAAGGGGCCAATGAGCATACAATAGCGAAGAACTCATCCGAACAATTACTATGAAAGTATTTATAGAAAAAAAACAAAACAACAAAAACAAAACAAAACACACACACACACACACAGGTAGGCTACCTTACGACGGCAGGAAAGTGACTGATACCGAGCTGCCAGATCAGGAGCAATAACATTGCTGATTCTTTGGATTTTATTCAGAAGCTCAAGGTAAATAGCAGGAACACCGAACCATATGTGGCAGCAATATTCTAATCATGGACGAATGGTTGACTTATAAGTATGTAAGATAGACACCAGTCTAGAAAAAATTGTCCCGCACGACACAGTCAACCAACTTTCTTAGCAGCTTATCTAGAAATGAATTCAATATAGTCTTTTCGCTTCATGTCAGCCGAGAACGCTAGACAAAAATTGATAATCGATTGGGAATGGAGAAATTGGCCTTTCGGTTGACTTAATCGATATTGACAGCAGTTATATCCTTGATTAATAAAATAATGAACTCATATTTACATCTGATTTGATTTATCTATAAATCCTGTATCACTTATCGAACATCATTTTGTAAGCCTAATTGGTTCTGTCCTAGATTATACTCGTGAGGTACGCTGTAAGATTTGATCTCTGCACACAAACAGTTGTTGGTCAGGCTATTTCACTATTAATCGACCTATGGCATGTAGCCAAATGGCGTGAAGGTACTGTATCGGTTATTTCAACTTTTGACTGGGTCAACTGTACTCTTACCTTCGTATAACGCGCGTTTCCCATGTTTTTGTTTTAGCCCGGCACTCCTTTGGCTTCCAGATTGATTCCTAGCGCCCCCTCTCCCCATATACAGATGCGAGATTTTTTTCAAAGTAAAAACAACAATATTAAACAGAAAAATCTGTTGAAAAATACTAGTTAATTTAATAAACCATATTATTTAGTTTTCACAATTCTAATGGGATTGGTATTCTTGAGTTCTCCACATTAGGCTGGAATTCACTAAGAAGTTGTAGATCCCCACGTTCGGTAATTTTAAGTTCCTTTGCTTGGAAAGAGGCAAAGCAACTCCACTGAAGCCCCATTCTACCAAATAGGATATTGAAAAGGTAATAAAATATATCTTCACCTTGTTCCATAATACTGGATAGAAGTTAGAAATAATTTTTGGTAACAAAAATCTTGATAAGATATTTTGAACTTTGGCCTTAGCTCAATGTCGTTTTGGATTGAAACTAATCCTTCCTCTGCCTCTCCTGTTTCCTCACTGCTGATATCTAAGAAGAGATTGATTACCCAGTGTAGTATTTTAAGCAATAAAGGATCCTGAAATATTTCAGACATGTCTCTTTGCAGCTCTCCCAGGTGAGCACAATACGCTTGAAGGTCATTATCTGATATTCTCTTCTCTTTATC